CCCATGCTCTACCCACTCCCCCATGCTCTGCCCACTCCCCGATGCTCTGAAAGCTGATTCTTCTTAATTGGATGACATACAAACCTTTCTTGCCTAAAAAATAGTAAAAGGAAAAGTAGGTAAGTTCCCAGAAAATTAAACAATAAAGTAACTAAACAGGAAAATGTCTGTGATAGTGTTGTCTGATTGTTGGGATGAGTGCAGTCCTGAGAAGGTCTGTTGTTGATGGTGGTGGCTGATGTTTCTACAAACTGAATGGATTAAGTCAATCATCATCAGAGTCACTCTAACCAGTGTGACTCTCACCACCACTGTCAACAGTCCTTCTCAGGGCTACATCCACCTGGACCATTAGATGACACACTCGCATAATATTTAACAATTGGTTCATGCTTTAGCGTGCGCTATCGAGTTATGGAGCATGCGGGAAGTTTGGAGAGCATGAAAGAAGCGTAAGAGTTGCCCAAGGCAATAGCCGAGGGCAACTCTAGCTTCTTGAGTGCTCTCCAAACTTCCCACATGCTCCATAAATCGATAGTGCACACCTGAAAGCATGAACCAATTGTTTTAGAACCTAGCCAGTGGAATTGTGCATCAAATCTGACGCGAAAAACGGACAACAATATCAGTTGAAGCGAATCGTGACGGCGCTGATACCGAGTCCCTTTTTCCTTTGTTTTTCTCTTTTTCCACCTCATTTAAGAACTATAACCCAAGGGAAAAGGTCGAAACATTGTCTTCGTTTTCAGACTAGTAGGCCGAGTTTCTGTTTGTATCCATTATTGTTGCAAAATATATTATTTTTCCCCGTGCTAACAATGGCCGCTTGCACGAAAAGAAAAATTTCTGGCGAAGTCGGATTTGCTGACCCTATCAGCGTGCACTATCGGGATTTTGAGCACGCTCACGTAAAATGAATTTGATTGTGCGACTCTGCTAGCTATGGTCTAAATAGATTTAGCCACGCCTGAAAGCAGAGCTCCCAAGTTCGTAATATTAATGATAACATAAAGATGTGCATTTCCCAAGACTCGCCTGAGACACCCCTCCCTTTGTTTTGATAGTCTCCCCTATCCTACCCGTGCAATCTGAGGGCATGTACACTTGGTCAGTCACGTGACAACCAAACGAAAAGAGGTTAACCATATTCCATGGGTATGTGGCTCTGCCTCACTCATGCGAAACGCGCGTGGGCGCCCCGCTATTACCCCAGGTTCAAAACATTTACTTGAATTATTAGGAAAATACATTTCACACAGTCGGGTATTTTCTTCATTTAACCTTTCTCTGCACTGTATAAAACAACAGATTCCATTTTCCTGTTAGCGTCTTTTTAGCTAAAAATATCCAATGTAAGAACCTCTGATACACTGTTTCCAGAAGTGATAAATATGTACCTTCTCCCAACAATACCCATACATTACCCAGCAAACAGGTAATGAGAATACTCAAACTTATCAGGCATAAGTTGTCATCTTGATTTAACAGCAAATCTGTGTAAGTAATTTACTAGGAAAAGTGTAAAAGCTAGGGGGAGAGGATTAAAATTCAGATCATGGCAGTTAAAAGGGTGAAAAAACATCTGTGTTGTGAACTTACACAGACAGTCAGAAGGAAAAGTGCATGGAGTCTGTTTCTTGCATTTAGTACCATACCTGTTTATCATCAACAGACCAAAACCTGTGAAACTATAAATTCTTCTCATTATAACTTTCAGAGTACAGAGAACAATGTGTAAATGTTACTGATAGGTAGGAAAACACAAACAAGATGTTAAACTTGACATCTTACACAACAGCATACAGTTTATTAATATTAACTGCCAGTTAGACTGGACTTACCTTTCAGCAATGGACACCATAGCATCTTCTGGCTGGTTACCAACAACATGATCAATAAAACGAAGAAGGCCTGGTGGTCTAAGAAATACAAGAAGAACAGTTTCACTATTAGCATTGCAAGTGCACATTTCTATGAAAGACTGATTAAAAATGAATCACCATGGATTGATGTTTCCACATGAAGAAAATTCTTAAAAAAAATCATCAGATATTTTCAACATAAACATCAATTGCTTTGAATAACAGTGCTCATCACTGGTGAGGGATGAAAAAAACAAAACAATAGCACCATGCAGTCATCATAACTGCTAAATGATATTTTTTGATGTAGGGTAATTCCACAGTATTTTGGACATAAAGCTTTAAGAAATAAAATTGACTAAAAGGACTATTAAGCTCTATTTCTGTATTGGTTAAAATTAATGCCAAATTTGTATAAAATGATACTTTTGAGATGTCAGCACTGTAATTTTGTGTCATAAATTATCATAAATTAACCTTGATACCAAAAAAGCTGTCACAGAGGGGGCATACACTAAATAAATATTGTAGATCTGTCTTGAGAAGAAATGTAATAATAGATAGATAGATAGATAGTTTATTATCAAAAACCTTGCAGCCACAGGCTGAATTACGTTTGATTTACAATAAAATATATACTACAAAAAATACATGGCTAAGAAGAACTAATTAAAAAGACAAAAATATATAATTAAGAGAAAAACAATATTACATCATTGCTTTATGGACATAGTGATGG